TACTGTACACTCTACATACAACATACATAGTCAATGTAATTAATTCGATTCGAGATTATTGTTCTAGTTAAATATTCGTTGTTGAATGCCGTGAATAAAGCATATAATATTAATTATGTGCTGATTAATATAACACAGCCCATATATAAAACAGTAAAACCTCGTTGCTCTGTGGTCAATTGAATCAGTTTTATTCGAACTGCTGATATTTAACAATTATTGGATGAGGCTGAGCAGGATATCCAGAATTATTTAGACCGAGGTCAATGTTATTTGCCGAAGCCGAAGGCTGAAGCAGATAACATTGACCGAGGTCTAAATAATTCTGGTATCCTAGCCGAATTCAATAATTGTTTTATTATTCATTTTGTGACAGAAAGAAAACAAAACCAGCAACAATTGAAAACAAATAAATATTCATTGAATTGATTAACTTTTCGTAAATATAAATACAGCATAATTGTTAACAATATTTCAAACACTCAGAGAAAGTTTACTGTATTAAACAATTATAGCAAGTTTCGTCTAGCTGAAATAAACATTGCAATTGTAGCACGAATTTATGTTCTTTTAGACAATTGAAAAAGCCGCTCAACTAAAAATTTCCCGCCAATTTGTATTTTCACAGAAAATACCGCTGAAATATCTTGGGTGCCGTTCAGTAACCTCTGCAGATTACTGTTTCTGCTGGAAATAGCGCGGGTACCTACAAATACCCAAAATGATTTGTAGGCTCTTAGTCAATGAAAAACCGAGAACACAGTACAATGAATAATAAATTACTATAATTAGTAATTTGACAATTTTTATGCAGTCATGTTCCTTCCTATACAGGGTGTATAAAAAAACCTGCAAACCTTTGAAATACAATGATTTTAGAATTTGCATGATTCAGAACTAATTGATCCCAAGCGTGCGTAAACACAATAGTATGTATGTATGTATGTAAAAATTTATTTAAAGACGCTAGCCTTGTCAACAAAGAGAGTTGATTCCCACAAGGGGCGTCGACATTTGAAAATTTACAAAAACTATTTACAAAAAAGACAAATATAAGTACAAATACATGCAATATATATAGTAATTAATTAGAATGGTTTAAAAGGAAGTTGGTGGTTTGGTGTGATTTGGCCATATAAATATGTCTGTAATAATCCATTTAGATTAATATTAGGTTAGTTACTTTGCCTTACAATATTTTTAAAAGAACATATTGATAGGGCTTCCTTAGCTTCACCAGGATGATCATTCCATAGTTTAGCACCACTATATCGAAAACTCTTTTTCAGAAAGTCGCGTCTTGGCTTAGGAACGGCCAGATCATTCTGAGCATTTCTGAGATCGTAAGTCGTTTGCGAAATATTCCTTTTTATCATAAACTCTTTCAAGTTCGGCAAACTATGGTCGTTTAGAATTTTATAAACAAGAGTTGCCTTAGTTAATTTTCTTCTAGATTCTAAATTGTCCCATTCAAGAGATTGAAGAACGTCAGCAGACCTGATCTCATAACCAGCACCATAGTTGACCCATTCGCAGTCGAACTGATAATTAGTATTCTGCATTACAAATAACTTTGTGTTATTCTAATTTCTATCAACGCGGTTAATCAGAATGTATTTTCAAATCCCAGGAGCAAAATAAGTGAATTAGCAGAATCATGCCAATTATAGTTGTTTGCAGGTTTTTTGACACACCCTGCATGTACGACAGAAGCTGAAGTATTTTAAATTCCCAGGAACATAAAATCTTGTGCTCAAAAACAATAGCTTGATTTCCATGCAAAGGTCTTTTTGACACATCCTGTAGATTAATTGTATATTCTGAACGGATATTTGTTTTTTCATTGAGTCTCATGATGTGTGTTTATCCGCATAATTAACCAGGTGACTGAACCGTCCAATTGGATTCGAGCAGTTGAAACGACACGTTTCGGTTACATTGCAATGATGAAATGCAAGACTATTAACTAAAGAACTTCAAATCGCCATTGGATAGAGAAGAGGAAAGAGCTCTCTCAAAGGTAAGTTGAAAATAAAGTTAATCTTTTTTGTCTGTGAGTGTATCATTTCTCTGAATCCATTTTATAGTCAAACTTTACCCATAGTCATTTAAACTATACAAAATGATTCCTGTATAATTGATAGAACCGGCTGAATTTATACGGTGTCTATAAAACGTCGGTCACTCCCAGAAACGTTTGAAGATTGTTAGATTTTAAAATTGGTTGTTGGAAATTACAATATTGTCAGGATCTTTGTAAACGAAGTTATTATTTGTCTCTTGAAGGAACTACCTCGAGCTCAGTTTCGTATTTGTCCGTGAATTAAAATAAACCGACCAAATCCAAATTGTCTAAAACATAATTTGAGAGCCAAAACTACTGGGAGGAAAGTCAAATGTAAGATCATACAGATGGCGTGCTGGGACGCTTCCCGGAATCGGCATTTACACATAACACAGCTTTAACCCTCGAGACTACTGAGGGGATTTGCAGGAAATCCATTGAAATTTACGCGGAAATAGTTGTGTCAGATAAGAATAGTTTACATATAGGGATCTGGCCACGGGCCTGCCCTTGTTTGGCACCATTCATGACAAAATTCATGCTATAGCAGCCAAGAGTTCGACCGATCTAGGAGTTATACCTCATATACGAATTGTAATATATTTTGGGCGTAAATTTTGACGGAACCTGATAATCAGGGTCTGTCACGTGCCACTCATGGGTGGTCCGCAAAGACATGGCGGATTTTCGCGTCATATGACGCCATTTCCATGACAACTGGTTCCTCCGGCTCATGGAATTACCGCTGACCAGGCTCAATTTCGAGCCCACTAGAATTTTCATACCCCCCATGGTTTTATCAAAAGTATTTTTGCTTTTCGAAGTTTTTGCAGTAAATTCTCGTTGTTTTTTTCATATTTTCTTCGACCTTTGACCATTTGTTCAAAGATTTAAAAGTCGTGCCAACACCGTACCCAGGCTCTTCCACTACGCTCCTCGCTCGAGGAAAGACCCTGGCAATAGCTGGTCACCTGGCTCCCAGATTCTGGGTGCTAAATTGAAATTGTACCAAGGAGAGTGCGCTTGGAAAGTTACAACTTGTGTGTCATAGTTTTGGGCGATAAAATTTAAATTTGCAACAAGAAATCCTGAAATATTTTGTATTTATTATCACACGTCTTCCTCTATATCATTGAGTGTTGGGTTACATTAGTCAAGCGATAAGTTTGATCAGACTTCAGTGGACATCAAGGCTTGGCAACGAAAGCACGCTTTGCTCGGTTCGCTGTAAAAATCGTCCGTACCGAAGATTCTTTTTGTTGGCAGTATTGAATTGTATCCTGTCCGATACGTAAACCCACCTGATTTACCTTATGTAGAGGTGTGGAATTGCTATAAAATAGCAAGATCCTGTGATCCCGCCAATTATGGGTAAATTCTAAACATGCTCTCCCGACTGTGAAAAGCCCGTCAAATACTATTATATATATTGGCATCGCTGAGACTCCATGATCAAGAATTTTGTCGAGGCATAGCTCTCTGATTCTGTTATCAAACATATGGTAAAGTTATCCGATGCAGGCAAAGATTCCTCCGTTGCATACGGAACAATTTGAGTGTTTAAAAAAATTATACACAAAACTATATAGCCTATAGTTATAGTGAAAAAACAACGAGAATAAAGGGCTATAGAATTATATAGAAAACGGTGCAATATGTAATTGCCTTCAAATGTTCAACAACATATTTGTGCAGACAAAAAAGGAAAAGCATAACTGTTGTCTTATAATTCTGTACTGTGGAGTCTCTAATTTTTGTACCTTACTCCTCCTACAATACCAAGTGTACTAAAATCAGTAGCATATAAACAGTCTATAAACAGTTTTAGAATGTATAATATGGACATTCAATTAAATCTGGCAGGTATATACACACATCTTAAATAAATGTGGTATATACACACATCTGGTATATACACACATCTTAAATAAATACTGCTGCAAAAACCTGGGAAACTTGCAGTTAAAAATTAAAACTAACCAACGATTTTAAACTGAATCAAATATAAAACAAAACAAAGCCGTCCGAAAAAGTATTTTGAACCCAAGATATGAGATTAATAATAATATGAGAATGAGTTTAAGAATAACTTAGATAGATAGATAGATAACAACCGAAGCTGATTTCCACGGGGGGCGTGTGCAAAAATAGAAAAATGTTACATGGAGATATTAAAAAGGTAGAATATTAAATTATTTACATGATAAGAAGGTTATTAGAATATTTACAGTTACATCAATTTACTCTATGTCAATTTTGTGAGCAGCGATTTTATTTCTAAAGGATGAAAGAGTTTTGCTTTCCCTAATTTCCTTTGGAATAGAATTCCAAAGGTGTGCTCCGTCATACATGAAACTATTTTTCATGTTGTTAGTACGCGGTTTTGGTAAACTAAGACCGCTTGAAATGTCATGAAGGTTGTAGTTTGTTTTCTCACATTTGTATGAAAAAAGATTGGTGAGTGATTTGATTCTTACTCAAAGAATAAGAATAACTTACTCAAAATTACAAAAGTATAAATTACAAAACGGCATGTGCTAAAACCTGGACGATGGACTGGACGATGGACGCTGGACGATGGACGCTGCACGATGGACGATGGACGTCCATCGTCCAGGTTTTAGCACATGAAACCCACCGGGCACACGACGTTGTTTCAACGTTGAAATTTGGTAGAAAAAAGGTTGCGACGTCGACAACCTAATATCTACGTTTCCCTGACGCTGTTTTACAAACATTGGTTCAACAGCAGCCAACAGACGTTGAATTAACGTTCATTCATGGTTAAATGTACGACGTCGATTTGTGAACCAATCTCAACGTTGTTTTAACGTGGATTCAACGTTGAATTATGGTTGACGAGATTGGCAATCTAATTTCAACGTTGATTCAACGTTGGATAAACGTCATTTTTCCCGCTGGGAATACTATCAAAATGATGAGAAAAGTGAGATGAATATACTGGTATACCAATATTATATCAAACGTACTGCATTTTTAATCCCCGAGCCGACGGCGCGAAGCGCCGTGCGAGGGTACTAATTACCCCTGGCTATTTACACCCGGGGAAACGAAAGCATTAGCGAAGTCTAAAGTTTATCAAATATCGCGGGCGTGGGTCACCAACCGTGGGTGGTCATCCTCACTGATCTCAAAAATATGGCGGACTGTCATGAATAGCAAACACTGTGATTGGCCAACTTAAAGTTTGCTATATAACGAGCGCAGCGCAGTGCAGTGCAGTGCAGTGCAGTGCAGTGCAGTGCAGTGCAGTGCAGTGCAGTGCAGTGCAGTGCAGTGCAGTGCAGTGCAGTGCAGTGCAGTGCAGTGCAGTGCAGTGCAGTGCAGTGCAGTGCAGTGCAGTGCAGTGCAGTGCACTGCACTGCACTGCACTGCACTGCACTGCACTGCACTGCACTGCACTGCACTGCACTGCACTGCACTGCACTGCACTGCACTGCACTGCACTGCACTGCACTGCACTGCCACTGACAATTCCCGGGAAATTCCTGTGACACCGGTTTTACACCCAAAATACCAGCCATATGGCAGTGTGAAGATAGTATGCTATCACAAAAAGTTGAGTTCGAAGTTATATGGAGAAAATTGTTGGTTACATTATTAATAAAAGATAAACTGTCAGATTATATTCGTTCTTCGAAAATTTGTGGTTGTCATTTTACCGGGAACTTCTTTCTTATATTTATTCAGTTTTATAGGCAAATTACATGTGTTCGCAATGGTCTAGCAAACAACGAATTCGATTAAATTTGCCCATTTCAGCGTTTTACTCCCATTAATTTCAGCGGTTTTACCCCCATTTCAGCGTTTTACCCCCATTTCAGCGTTTTATCCCTATTTCAGCGTTTTATTCCTGTTTCAGCGTTTTATCCCCATTTCAGCGTTTTACCCCCATTTCAGCGTTTTATCCCCATTTCAGCGTTTTATTCCCATTTCAGCGTTTTACCCCCATTTCAGCGTTTTACCCCTATTTCAGCGTTTTATTCCTGTTTCAGCGTTTTATCCCCATTTCAGCGTTTTACCCCCATTTCAGCGTTTTATCCCCATTTCAGCGTTTTATTCCCATTTCAGCGTTATATCCCTATTTCAGCGTTTTATCCCCGTTTCAGCGTTTTATCCCCATTTCAGCGTTTTACCCCTATTTCAGCGTTTTATTCCCAATTCAGTGTTTTATCCCCATTTCAGCGTTTTATCCCCATTTCAGTTTCCGCTTTCAGTTTCCGTTTCCGCGATTCAGTTTCAGCGGCGTTTTATCCCTACCCAGAAATATACTGTAGTCCGTAGACTGTAGTGTAGGACGTATTAAAGTTAAAATAAATGAACTATACACCAATTTTTAATACTTCAGATTTTTATGGGGTTTTTTGCTGGGTCAAGGAAATTATTGACAAGCAGAATTCAAATACAAAAAATAATGAAAAATGAAAAAATCCCGCTCCAAATTTTTGAAAATTGTGGACGAAAAACATGATATCAATTTTCATTGGCCTAATCAACAGGCCGCGTCGAGAATTGTAACATTGATTAAAATGTTGTAAATTTGTATAATTTCTATTTAATGAACTGTCAATCAAATTTCAGTAAGTAAATAAAGTGATTAAGGTGTGTCAAATTGATAGTATAGTGACAGGCCTTAAAATATCGGTCGGTCACGGACATTGGTCCGACCCATTCGTGAAATTGACCGACGTAGTGAGGAAGCCACCGGACATTCTGTCCGACAAAAGTGAAACTGGGGCTTCTGTTTGTCCGACCCGGGTGTATTGGTGTGAACTGTAGCTTTGTCCGACGTAAATCAATCCGCAGTAAGGCTCGTATGGTAAATGGAAAATAAAGGACAATTGACTATTGTATAAAAAGTAAACTGCATGGAAATGTTGTTTTAACGTAGGCTGATCGAGCGCGGGGCGGCGACGTGCTAGCGAAATCGTGAAGTGGAAAACGGGCTTAAGTTGTCGAAGTCTTACTTCTGTTCTTGTAGGGAAGTTAATTTTGGCTTGGAAATAAGTATGAATGACACAAATTATTTAATATCTTCACAACATTTACCGTTTAGAATTAATACATTGTGCTGATATTCATTTGTGTCATTCAGACTTTAATTTCCGAGTCAAACTGAACTGAAGGTCATCGGACATATGTCCGACCCAAACTCAACGTCATCGGACATTTTGTCAGACGGCCCTGTAAAACTGGATATTTTAAGGCCTGGTATAGTGACAAAGTGATAGCCGGAGACTGAATTTGTTGAAACGGCTGTAGCTAAATAAAAATCGTCCATCGTCTAGGTTTTAGCACAAATGCTAAAACCTGGACGATGGACGTCCATCGTCCATCGTGCAGCGTCCATCGTCCATCGTCCAGCGTCCATCGTCGATCGTCCAGTCCATCGTCCAGTCCATCGTCCAGGTTTTAGCACATGCCTTACAAAACTGCTGTAATCTTATTTATTATAAAACGTATAGTGCTTTATAGAGATTTCGAGCACTGATAAAAGTGATAATCTCACATGTGAGATTATTCATGATAATCTCACATGTGAAAATTATCGCTTTTAAATTATCGCTTTTCTGTAAAAATTATCGCTTTTCAAAGACTGTCCTTTATATAATAAACAGAAAAATACATGGGTGCTTGGAAATACCAGATTTATTTCTCGTGTTGAACATGACATCTCACTCGTTCGCTGCGCTCACTCGTGAGATATCATGTCCAACACTCGAAATAAATCTGGTACTTCCGCGCATCCATGTATTATTCTCTATAATATAAACTAGCAATATTATATATTTACCGTTTATAGCGGTAGTTTTTGACAAAATCCATTTATGCATTTTCCATCTTAAGTTGTCAAGCAGTCGGCCAAGCTTTGGCGAGCTAGAATTTAAAACAAAGTAAAAAAAAAACTCTCGTGAATCTTACCTGTAATAAAAATCGTTTCGAGTGAATTGTTTCATCTATTACCAGAGCAAGAACTGAAAACTAACGCACTTTTTCCTCGACTGCAAAAATATCAAGATTTTCAGTCGAAACTCGAAAATCCAAGGTGATGAGGGATATTATTTCAATCGTAGGATCGCGGTTGATCAGTGGTAATTGCCATGAGCCGGAGGAACCAATTGGCGTCAGCAAACATGAAAACCCGCCATGTATTTCCGCACACTTGATTGACTGACGGAAAGATTGGAGCACGTCTTCCATCAGTAGTGCTTGCGACAGACCTTGTTCCCGCAAGCCTGTTACCGGGTGACGAAACCAACAGACCTGTCGCGACTTGTTGACAACGTGCCGCAAGCCTGTAAAATCAACAACTTGCGACAGGGTTGCGAGATTTCTGGCTGTGTACGTTTATATGAACAAATAGTTTTGCCGTCAGCAATTGGGCAATGTGATAATGCGTTCCGAACCTACCCTTCCTGAGTGGAATAATTAGCCATTCCGAAGTTGATGGGAGGACTGGGGACGAGTGTTAAAAATTGCCCAATTTAAGAAATGGACCAAATCACTAAAAATAGCACCTCGAAATTAGTAAGTATACAAAGTTTGAAGATATTTACACGAATACCCTTCGAATAAGAAGCTTTCGAAAATCGCAATATTTGGCTATGAAATGTATTGTAATTTCAACATGAGCTCCACCTTTGAATTTACTATATGAGTAAATTCTTAAACACGTCCGAATTTATCATTATGATAAATTCGCGGCACATTTTGAATTTATCAATAGAGTTAATCATAAAACCACAATCATTGCACAAGGTTTC